TGAAAATACTAGAAAACATTCAGGTTGCCATATGGAATGGTAACTGATGTATAGGAAATGTGTTTAGTACTCGTGCCAATTTGATGAAAGTGGTCAACGATATTCATTCTTCGTTGTCTCCTTGTAAAACTGGGTGTTCTGATAAGTATCTCTAAGGACATGTTCCTGGGGCGCCTGGGTGGCTCCGTGGGTTAAGCCTCTGCCTTTGGCTCAGGTCATGATCTCAGGGTCCTGGGATCGAGCTCTGCATCGGGCTCTCCGCTCAGTGGCGAGTCTGTTTCTCCTTCTGCCTCTGTGATCCCTCTCCCTCTGTAATTGCTTTTGCTCTCTCTAAAATAAATAAAACTTAACAAGGAAAAAAAAAAAAGAACAGGTTCCTGACTTTCTTTCTGCTGGGCTTCCAGTAGGAAAATACTTCACTGATTTAGGATGGTAGTGAGAAACGAACAAGCACTGTGTGTCTTATCTCTGGACTCCGTGTGTCCGAATTAAAGAGAGTTTAGCGATTGTTTTTTTTTTTGTTTTGTTTTGTCATGTGGGAAGGACAATATGGAACAACAATTGGAGTGGGGCGGGGTGGGAGGGGGAGATTTGGAGGAGAAAGGGCATTGGGTCAGGCTAACACGAAGAAAATGAAATCGAAATGTAGCTAGCAGTTATGGGCGGCTGTAGTGTAAAGGGGCTCTTTTGTCTTGGGTGGATGTGGGAGGTCCCATTTCTGGACGCATTCTAGGTGGACTGCTTCCCCCAGAGCACTCTTGTGGGAAATGGGCATTTGTAGAACAAGTTCCCTGTGCACTGGGTGAGCACGGGACATGTTCATGACACGCTAATGGCATTTGACTGTAGCCTCTGGTCATTTCACCGTGAAGCCGTGTTTGAGGTTTTGGCAAAAAATGTTTATTTAAGGGCCTATATGATATCACTTCACAAAGTGTTTTTGTTTTTTTTTTAACAATTGTCAGCAGCTTGTATATTGCGCCCACGATGTGACATGCAATGTACAGTATAGTATATGGGAGAATTCATAGCATCAAAGACAGACAAAATAAATGACACAGGGCTGATGCTTAAAATATACTGGGTGGTTCGGTAAAGCCCCGCCCCACTCCAGTCGTCGTTCCATATTGTCCTTCCCACATGATACGGAACCTCCCACTCTGAAGACACCCCCCCCCACCCAAGCCCTGAAAACCCCCACTCTCCTCACTTCTGGAAATGTTTCTCTGAGCCATGCCAAGTTTAAAGGAGCTTCAGCTGTGTCTAGGTTCAGCCCGCATGTGGGGGCCGGGAGGAGGGATTTTTCTTTGATCTGCCTAATGAATTAATGAATTAAACAGAGGTGGAGTTCAGAAGGCAGGCTCCTTACTTTTTCCAAAGTTGGGCTGATTATGAGCTGGAGTAACTGGTGGAAAAATGCAGCTTCAGGCTAGAATTAGGGACATGGCCGAGTCCATTCATCTTCCCTAATCGAGTTCTTGGGAAATACACATGTAGATTAGCCCCTAACAATGACCCCCGGCTGATTGCTTGGAGTACCCTCCACCGTGCCCACAATGGCACTGACTAGCTCTTTATGTCGCGCACAAAGGAAGCCCCAACCTCCCCTTGTCCTGCTTTGCCCTGTTTCCCCCCAAAGTCCCTCGCCAGTGGCTGTTGAAGTCTTTTTTGCTTTTCTTTCAAGACTCTGAAATAAACAGTAAATAAAAGCTAACCTCACCTGGACCTATTAGGGAGAGCTGGGCAGTCCCAGAGGGAATTAACTTTGGAAAACAAGGCTCTAAGCCCCTTAGCATGTGGGCAGAAGCTTAAGAAAACACTGCCAATCTTTGTTGAGCAGGGATGATAGCGATCAATTTAATATTGGGGAAGTTTACATGAAAAGCGTCCTTGGTCGTAGGGGAAACAGCAAACACCTGTCAGCCGCTGGCAGCCAGAGACATTAGCACCTGAACCACCAGGTCTACGAAACTGGCATTTGGACATTGTGGGGTTGCCACCAGACCCTTTGCAAGGACAGGGTCTTCAACAGCCTAGAAAGCCCAAGGGCCCCAGGGACAGCCTTTGCCTGGACTGTGATGGGAACTTCCCAAGGATTTGTTCAGTGGTCCCAGACATCGGTACCCCACAGGCTGCTGTTCTGGGCTCTGACTTCATTACTGGGGGAAGCAAAGCCGCCATTACCTCAGCCTCTCAGATGCGGCGCCCAGTCTCCGGGAAGGATTAAGGATGGACTGCAGGCTAAGATGTGCCTCTTTTCTTTTCAAAAGCATCGCACTCACAACATTTATTACAAATGACCTATAGGCAGAAAACGCTGGACAAAGAGTCCCGTGGTCTGAGTTCTAGTCCTGACCCCTGTGCTGACAAGCTGCCTCACCATGAGCCTCAGTGTCCTCTTCTGTAAAATGGGGACAACTGGATTTGTCCTGCTCCCCTTACACGGCTGTGAGGATCCTCTGAAGGGAAGATTGTGAAAGGATTCTGAAAGCTGTAAGGTGCATACTGTTTATCATTAACGTAGCTTTTTCTTAAAATAAAACTCAACTTCTGGGGCACCTGGGTGGCTCAGTCAGTTAAGCATCTGACTCGTGATCATGCCTCAGGTCCTGATCTCATGACCCTAATCAGGGTCATGGGATTCAGCCTCCAACCAGCTCCTCGCTCAGCAAGGAATCTGCTTGATTTCCCTCTCTCCTTCTGCCCCTCCTGCACATACTCCCTCACACAAATAAAAATAAATAAGTCTTTAAAATGAAATACAACTTTTCACTTGAACGGACAGCTCAATTTCTATCTACTGCAGACTCACCTGCTTGCTATTTTAATTTACCTTATTCTAGGTCTACTAAAAATGGGAGGGATTTGTGTAACGACCATTCCCATATGCCTGCCACAGAGAATTAATCATTCCACAATCCTCAATGTGGTCACATGTCCTTTTGAGTGCCCTTCTAACATCAATTTAAAGGTGAGGACTGGGGGCTCCTGGCTGGCTCAGTCAGAAGAGCACACAGCTCTTAATCTCATGAGGTTGTGAGTTCCAGCCCCACCTTGGGTATAGAGATTACTTAAATAAATAAACTTTCAAAAATAAAATAAAAGTGAGGGTTGAAAGATACATGTTTTTCTCTTGTTTCTTCCTTTGTCTTGTCTCCCAGGCTGGACATTAAACTTCTCAAGACCAGCGCCCAGCCTTTCTTTTCTTCTGTGGGGCTGGCATTCCACCACCCCCCGCACCCCCCCCCACCGCCCCGTGAGTGCGGGACCCTCAGAAGGGAGGCAGTAAACCTTTGGCTGAATGCAAGGAGAAAGAAACTAATGGGGTTGGGGAGAGACATCCCTGTGTGGAGATCAAAGCTCCAACTGCAGAGCACATTTTCAGAATCTCTATAGTTTGTATCCGGATGAGATCATGAGAGGTGAACTAAACTTATCGTGGGAATCATTTCACGACACAGGTAAGCCAAGTCATTCTACTGTACACCTTGAACTCACCCAGCACTGTATGTCAGTTATATGGCAATAACAGTGGGGAAAAGGAAAGGAATCTCTAGGTCCTTAGACCTTTAGAAAAGCATTTATGTTCACATTTCCTGCTAATAGTTTAGAAGGGGGACGGGGGCGGAGGGGGGTGGGTTCGGGTCCAGGATCAGACTTGAGCAGTGTCAGCCTTCACAGCGCGGATCACAGCACTGGCGGACTGGGGGGAAATCACTCGCGGACGGTAACCATCATTCCACCTGGCCTGAGACTCTCATTCTGCCCCAAGGAAGCCTCGTGGGGCTGCCAAAGTGGAAAGAAATGCAGGCAGATTACGCCTAGAATCCCCCCCCACCCCGAGAATGCGAGGAATCACCCCAGACGAAGGCCCTTCCCTTCTGCCTGAGGCTGGAACATCTCCTGGGTCTGGAGAGTATTTGGTGGGGAGAGGGGTCCCGCGGAAGTCTACGGGAGTGAGGGGCCCCGGGCAGGTCTGTCTGTCCCCCCACCCCCCGGCCTGAGCCCGGGAGCAGGTCCCTCTCTGGGCCTCCCAGCCTCCTGCTGGGCTGTCGGGCACTCGAGGTCACAGGCGCGCAGGCACAGATGGCCCCATCGCCTCCTGGGGTGAGCCTGCCCGCGCGCGAATCCGAGGGGACAGGAAGGAGCAGTTAAACATACGTAGACAAACAAAATAAACGCGAAGTCCGAGGCTTCGGACTACGAAGCCGAAAGAGGAGGGCCCTTGGGGGTAGAAAGATGGAGAGAGAAGGGAAATTTTAAGCTGGGAAGAAGCGCGCGTGGCCCGACGTCCTACGCAGCAGAGCCTGGCAGCCGTCCGTCCCCCGCCCCCCGCCCCTTTCCAAAGGTCGCCCCCGGCGCTCAGCCCTGCGGAGGAAGTGAGCGCGAGGGCAGAGGCGACTCTGGGGTCTGGGAAATGAAGAGGGAGGTAAACCCAAGAAGGGAGGCAAGCCCCCGGGGTACTGGGGGAAGGTGAGACCGAGGGCGTCGGCCTCATTGAGGCCAGAAGCGGGCCCCAGAGCCGGATGCCCAGGCCTGTCAAACATCCCACAGCCGTTTCCCCCGGGACGTGCTTGGAGCGGATCGAGAGTTGGAAGGTGGAAAGTTCGGAACGCCGGCCCCGCCGGGAGTGGCCGCACAGGGAACCGGAGGGGAAGACCCGCCCCGCTGCCGGGGGAGGGGCCGAGGGAAGAGGCTGGGTCGTGGGCAGGAGGGGAGGAGCCGGGGCTCGCGGGCTTTAGCCCCCGGAGCCCCAGCTACCCGGAGTCCGAACTTCAGACTCCTGCAGAGACCCAGGCCGCGGCGGGCGGAGCGCTCTCCCACCTCCGGCGTGCGCGGCCCAGGCCCGCGTCACCCGCCAAGCTTGACCTTGGGTCGGGACCAAGCGGGTAGAACGGCGGTCCCCGGGAGGCACCGACTTAGGGTCTCTTCTCTGGGTCTCCAAAGCGGGCGGCGCTGCGAGAGCGCGGGCCGAGCCCTCCCGCCTCCTGGCGCTCCCCATGCACCTGCCGGCCTGCGCCCCCGCCATGGCCGACGGCAGCTTCTCGCTTGCCGGCCACCTGCTCCGCAGCCCGGGAGGAAGCACCTCCCGGCTGCACAGCATCGAGGCTATCCTGGGATTTACCAAGGACGACGCGATCCTCGGTTCCTTCTCTGCGGAGCCGGGCGCCCGGGGCGCGAAGGAGCGGGATAGGAGGCCGGGCGCGCGGGCCGCCTGCCCCAAGGCGCCCGGGGGAAGCGGCGAGCCCTCCCCGCAGCCTGCCCCCGCGCCTGCTCCAGAGTACGAAGGTGAGTGTGCACCCCTGGCTGCTGCAGGGCCCTGAGGGGTGTCCAAACGTAGGAGCTCTGCAAGACGAATAAGCCAGTGCCTTGACTTTTATTAAGGCATCTGGGCGCGGAGTTTGAGTTAGTGTGCAGAGCAGGAGACTCCAATTTGTGTTCAGAGAAACCTTAGGGGCCCCTACGGCCTTACCCCGACCTCCTGGCCCAGCGCCCAGGAGCAGCCAGCGTCCAGCTGCCGGCGCCCAAGGGTAGGCGGAGTGGGCCCAGAGATGACTCCCGGAGTGTCTCTGACCGTCTGGGGCCTCTTCGTCCCAGCCCCTCGACCTTACTGCCCCAAGGAGCCTGGAGAAGCACGGCCGAGCCAAGGGCTGCCCGTGGGTCCCGCCACCGGGGACGCGAAGCTGTCGGAGGAGGAGCAGCCCAAGAAGAAGCACCGGCGGAACCGCACGACCTTCACCACGTATCAGCTGCACGAGCTGGAACGCGCATTCGAGAAGTCTCACTACCCCGACGTGTACAGCCGCGAGGAGCTGGCGGGCAAAGTCAACCTACCCGAAGTCCGCGTCCAGGTAAAGCGCCCAGATCGGTCCCCGGGAGGGCCCCAGGCCCAGCCTGCAGCCAGTGCTCCCCCGAATCCCCGGGCGTCCACGCATTTACTGTGACACTGTTCCTATTGGTCTTCCTCGACTGGGCTCACCCAGAGCCTCAGACGAGCGTCGCCGATCTTGCGGGTGTCCCACCACCGCCCTTTGGACAGTCTGTTCCATTTTGTAGTAGGATCTCTCCTTTGGGGGGGGGTCTCCCTCTTTGAACCTAAAGAGAGCACTAGGGCATGGCTGTCGAGATGAAGGGCGACAGCTCATTACAAGCCCTGCCAAGGACTGGGGAGAGAGGCGGTGAGTGGAGAGGGGATGTAGGCAGCCTCCCGGATTGGGACCCCAAATGCCACCCTAGTCACTAACTACACTCACCCTGTCCAGATATGAAAACCCAGTCTTTTACAAGGGCTCTGGTGCCTGCAGTTGAAAGTTTTGGTGGATTTGTTTAAGAAACTGACTTTTGCTTCTTTGGTGCACATCCAGCCAAACTTCTCACTACTGCAGAGAGGACTTGACTTTTCTTTTCTTTCCTTTCCTTCCTTCCTTCCTTCTTTTCTTTCTTTTTTTTTTTTGTAAGAGGGTTTTCGCTTTAATTAAAGCTGAATTATCTTTAATCCCTGATCATTAAAATATTTGAAAGCCTTAAATATTTGCTAGTCATCTGTGAAAAATCTGGGAGGATTTCCAAATTAGGAAAGTTTACAGAGGCCTGAAAGGGAGTCATTGGGAACAAATTTCACTGCCTCTGAAAGGCAATGGGACTAAGGTGGGATTTTTGTGTGTGTCTAATGAATTAGATTTCCAGGAAGTGAAGATATTCCGATGTTTGGGGGCTTTTAGCCTTACCTTAAAGCTACAAGAGGACAAGCTTTTGCCTTTTGTCTCTTCTGCTTATTATATTAGGAGTTTAAAGTAATGAGTGAATGTCATGGTTTAAAAAAAAAATAATTCCCTAATGTAACTCAGGATTAACTTGCAAGGACAGTTCAATTTCTCTTAATTTGGAGCAGTAGAACTGCAATGGTTTCATTGAAGGTGTGGACATTTTAGTACCTGCTTTTTTCAGGGAGAGGCTGGGGTAGGGGGAAGAAAGGGACAGGAGTGAAGGATGAAGGAAAAGAGACAAAACCTCCCAGTGCCCCTACAGACCACAGACACAGCCAGCACGAAGCTACCTTCAAACTGGATGCCACCTCTGTCCTACCTTCCTTCCTCCCTCTTTATTTGTTCACAGATTTTGGCTCCTCCTCTAAGTTGTCAGCTTCTTGAGAACAGTGTCTGTGACTTCTCTGTGACCACAGGGCCAGCACAGTGCCCAGCATATGGCGGTTCTTAACACATGGCTATGATGTAATCAGACGGAGGGGGTGGTCTACCATGGGCCTCCAGCTGTGTGGAGGGAAACAGTACAGCCTCCTAAGAGCCGACTGTCCCAGTCTTCAGCTTTCTGCCTTTGAATACTGGGTGGAAGACTGTAGCCAATATTTTGGGGGCCAGAGTGGGACATGCAGGGAATTGGAGGAAGCAGTGGGATGGGAGCCCTCCCCAAGCTGTTGTTTCTCTTTTCTTTTTTATCACCAAATAACTAATGTTTCTGGGGAAATTAGGGCCTCTGGTATGGAGATGAATCTTTTGTGGGAAGGGGACAAAGGTACTTAACTTTTTTGTCCTTTCTCCCCCGCCCCCAAATCCTAGCCTTACATATACACTTGCCCTGCCCTGCCCAGGTGCTGGGTGGCTGTTCTCTCCCTGCTTCTAAGAGGTCCCCTCCCCCACTGACTCAAAACTGCCTTCTCCCTTCTAAGGTCTCAGCCATTCCTTTATTTCTTTCCATTAATATAACACTGAAGCCACCAGTTTGGCCAAAGTTCTTTCTAGCCCAGTTCTCTCTGTTATGTTTCCAGGGGTAGTAACTTGGTAGTCAAACCTTAATTACACCTTTTCTTGTGCTTTTACCCAATAAGTAATGGACGTTTTATCATTAAAAGATCAGACTTTGAGGGGCACCTAGGTGGCTCAGTGGGTTAAGCCTCTGCCTTCAGCTCAGATCATGATCTCAGGGTCCTGGGATCGAGCCCCGCATCGGGCTCTCTGCTCAGTGGGGAGACTGCCCCCCATCCTACCTGATTCTCTGCCAACTTGTGATCTCTCTCAAATAAATAAATTTTTAAAAATTTTTTAAAAAAAATTTTAAAAAAGAAAGAGATCAGACTTCACTCTTGGTGCAGACTTTCCATATGTAAAGAAAAAAAAGCAAAAAGAAAAATATAATTCATTGAACTCATCTTAGAATAATGTCATAATCGACCCCAAAAAGTCAACGTAAATATAATAAACTTGAACTATTGTAATCATTGAAAACCATTTTTAAGAAATATCAGAAATACTAAAGGGATAGCAATTAAAGAAGAATCGATATCTTATTGAAGCAGCAACTTAAAAAAGCTTGGGATAAAATAAACCCACTTTTTTCCTACTAGTTATCATAACCAGTAATTCCTGGAAATAGCTGTATTATAATACCCTGTGCTGCTAGTTAAGGTACTTAGAGTATTTGCTTATACCTATGTTTATAATAGAGACAAAATGTGGGTAAAGCTCAGGGAGTCCCGAGGCCTGGGTGGCTCAGGGTGCTTAAGCGCTCACTGCCTTTGGCTCAAGTCAGGATCCCAGTGTCCTTGGATCGAGCCCCCTGTCGGGCTCCCTGCTCAGCCCGGAGTCTGCTTCTCCCTCTCCCTCTGCCTGCCGCTCTCCCTGCGTGTGCTCTCTATGAAATAAATAATATTTTTATTTGTTAAAGATTATTTATTTATTTGATAGAGCAAGAGCGAGAGCACAAGGGGGAGCAGCAGAGGGAGAGGGAGAAGCAGGCTCCCCCATGAGCAAGGAACCCAATGCAGGACTAGATCCCAGCACGCTGGGATCATGACCTGAGCGGAAAGCAGACGTTTAACCCACTGAGCCACCCAGGCGCCCCATAAAGTATTTTTAAACATTTTAAAAAGAAAAGCACAAGAGAGTCTGAGCCAAACTCCCAGCCCTGAGCGCAGGGCCATACAGGGAGGAAGAAACGTCTAAACCGAAGTGCCCGGAGGGGCTGCCGAGCAGCAGGTCCCCGAAATTTGGTGAGATCTGCTTTCCAAAATCCTAGGCCCCATCCCCAAGGTTAACCTCCCTATTTTTTCTGAGCACCCACTCCGTGTCGGGAGTCGGAAACAGCCACAGCCACAGCTATGGGTGAGGTAACCAGGGACAGGGGTGGGACAAGGATGAGACAGAGACTCCGCGCGAACGGGAGGAGGGGAGAGGCAACGAGGAGAAAACGGGGTGTAAAGGAAAGAGAGCGTCGGGGTGGGGAGGTGGTGCGATAGAGTCCAGCCCCAGTTTTCTCTGGGGGTGACAGAGTCGTCCCCAGCCGGGCTGCCCCGGGGGAGCAGGGCGGGGGCGCGGCCCGAGCCTCCGCCGCCGCCGACGGCCGCTGTGCTGCCCTCCGCAGGTGTGGTTCCAGAACCGACGGGCCAAGTGGCGGCGGCAGGAGAAGCTCGAAGTGTCGTCCATGAAGCTGCAAGACTCGCCCCTCCTCTCCTTCAGCCGCTCCCCGCCGTCGGCAGCTCTGGCGCCCCTCGGGGCGAGCCCGGGCGGGGGCGGCGGGCCGGCGGGGGGCGCCCTGCCGCTCGAGTCCTGGCTGGGGTCGCCGCTGCCCGGCGGGGGCGCCACCGCGCTGCAGAGCCTGCCCGGCTTCGGGCCCCCCGCGCAGAGCCTGCCGGCCAGCTACACGCCGCCGCCGCCGCCGCCCTTCCTGAACTCCCCGCCGCTGGGCCCCGGCCTGCAGCCCCTCGGGCCGCCGCCGCCCGCCTACCCGTGCGCGCCCGGCTTCGGGGACAAGTTCCCGCTGGACGAGGCGGACCCGCGCAACAGCAGCATCGCGGCTCTGCGCCTCAAGGCCAAGGAGCACATCCAGGCCATCGGGAAGCCGTGGCAGGCCCTCTAGGGGCACCCGACACCGGATCGGGCCGGACGACCGTCCTGGGAACCGACCGCGACCCGCAGGCGCGCGCCCTTTCCCCTTGCGGTCCCCACACGGCCACCCTCCCGGGCCGCCTGAAGCTGCGGCCAGGCCTGGGTCTCCGACGCGCGTCTGCTCCTGGCTCGCCGGGGAGGACTGACCTTGCGGCCCGCCGAGGCCCTCTGGCCACCACCCCTCCACCCCCACGGACCCCCGGCCCTGCTGCTGGAGGGGGAGAGGCGGCCCGGCCCCTCGGGGTTAAGGAGACCCAACGCGCCTGACCTCGGCCGCTCCCGGACGGCGTGGCTACCCCGGAAAACGACAACTGGGAGGAAGGGGAGGCCGAGGAGTATAGTTTGAGGGACTGTTTGTATGCGTAGTTTGAAGTGTTGGGGAGGAGAATTAAAGACTGCCTTGTTTTTGTTTGACTCCGGTGAAGGGCGCCCAGGACTGCGGTGGCGGGAAGGAAGGCTGACGCGGGTACCCGAGGGGCTGCGGTGACGGATGGGGTGGGTCAGGGGAAGCAGATGACCGCGCAGGACCTGGGGCCCCCTCTTGCGTATCCTCCTGGGGCGGGGGGGGGGCGCTTTGCTGCTGCGCCCTCCACCCGAGCCCTCCTCCCCTGGCGCGTGCGGGAGCAGCGATCGTGTGGGGTTCGGGGTGTTTGGAGCCTAAGGCTCAGCTGCCTGAGCGTTCCCCGGCCCTCTACCCCCCAATAGCCAAGCTGCGGCTGCTGCTTAGAAGGATCGACCCCAACAGAAAACGTCTATCCCACCTTCCCCAGGGGGAGAGCTGAAAGTCCGGAACGCCTGGGGGCCCCGCCTCCCTGTTTGCTGCCCACCACTGCCCAAGGGCCCTCTCGGATCACTGTCCAGGTCGCGGGCTCGGTGCCAGCCCCTGCTACCAAGGACTGGTGACATTAGTCCTCCAAAGACTCGGGCAGAGCGACTTTTCCTCTTCTGATCCCCACGCCTCTCTCCCGCTTCCCCAACTCGCTCCTTAAACCCCCAACCCCGCGGTTCTGTTCAATGCCCGTTAGATTAGCTGCCGTGCTTGCGGACAGTGTCCTGGAGCGCTCTGCGTCGCGACCCCGGCGGGCACATCCTTGCGGGCGCGTCCTGGACAATATGGGCTATTTTTTGACGCCGGCTCTGGGGCGGGAGGGAATCCGCGGGCTTCCGAAGCTCCCGCAGCACTCGGGGAGTCACCCGTGAAGCAAAGCCCGGAACTCCCAGCCTGAGCAGCCGCGGTGTCCGCAGCGGGTCCTGGAAGCTGGGCAGACCCTGGAATAACCCAGATTCCCGCCGCGCAGGTCCTCTGGCCTCGTTGCTTTGAGTGCGCTGGAAAAGACGCTGCCAGGAGCCTTAGCATCATCCCCCCCACACACCCCACTGTTCTGTCGTCCCTTAGCGTGTTAGTGAGTCACCCCTTTCCTTGTCTAAATGAACCCTATGTCCCTGGGAGGTGGAAAAGATTCAGTGAGGTCAACAGAAAGGGCTTTGACTGAACCACCAAGGACCCCACACCGGGCAGTACATACTGTGATGCCCCCTCTCCGATCCCACGGTATCCCAGTCCTGCTCTTGGGTTCCCAAAACGTACTTGGGTAAAGGATGACGATCCTGAGGCTGGGGTAGAGGAAGTGTCATCACAGAATTCGGGCCTTGCCATGAGGGTCCTGAGAGGTTATCCTATAATCAGGGGTGAGTACCCCTAGCCCCTCAACATGGTGCCCTACATATAGCAGACTGGTCAGTAAGGATTAACTGGATGTGTTATTACCTTCAAGAGGTAGGAAGTAATACCTGTACTTTCCTTCACTAGGATGTTCGTTGGAAAATGGATGTATTGGCCAAGTGATCCCAGCTGTTGGCATGGGTCAAAAAAAAAAAATAGATAAACAGGATGAATGTGTAAGTGAATTTCTTTCAGTTTGGACTAACCTCTTTCACCCATCCTTTCATTCTTTAACGCCCTCCTTTTACTAGGAACGATTTATCCAGTGAACTCCAAGTTCACTGGTGAGTACTTGCTCTGCCTTCCCTCTCCTTTCTGCAGTCCTGGGCACCTGTGACCTTGCCCAGCCCCCCACCAGCATCTTCTTCTCTTCCATTCCCGTGACTACTCATTTTGCCTCCTTATGCCATTTTTCTTCCTATGATTGGTTGCCTGCAGGTTTCAAACCATCACTTCTTTCTCCTCTTTTACTACTTAGTCTGAGAATGAATCTTCTAAACCATCTCTTTAGACACCAACAGAGTGAATCATACCTGGATTTCAGGGACAAATCTTTGGAAAATGATCAAAATACTAACAACTAATGATCTCTGAGAGCTTATTATGTGCCATCACTCTTCCGAGCAGCTTACGTCTACTGATTCATTTAAGCCTCACAAGGACCATGCCAGGAAGACAAGATCAGCCTCATTTTATAAATGAGGAAAGTGAGGCACAGGGAAGTTGCCTTAAATAAGCTTTGACCAGAAGCTCTGGCCAGCATAGTGCGATGTTCCAGAAACACTTGCTGAAGAAGCGCTCCTATTCCAACTCCCAGCAACTACTCTTTAGACCACATTGGGAATTGAGATCCTGAGGGGTGGGTGGAAGGGTCTTTCCTGGGCTCCCATCAGCCCCAGAGCCCCCCCTTCCCTCACTCCTAGGGGCTACCTGAAGAGCAGTTCTGAGAGCCCCAGGAGTTAACTCAGGCTGGAGGTGAGAGTGACTTGTGCTGAAGGACCTTAAAGCCCCAGAGGACCCTGAAACACTTGGGGCTGCTGCCCAAGCTCACGGCTGCAGAAAGCCGTTGGCAGAGGCGCGCGCTTCCGAAGCTAGATTGTGCCGGCTGTGATTTGGGGCGGGTACAAATTTTTCAGGGACTCCGGGGGAGTCTCCCCCGTAAGCCTGCATCACTTGAAAAATGGTTCTTGAGTGTTCCATAATGAGACTGAGGGCTTGGCTCAGGCGACGCTTCCAGCGTCCACTGAAGGGGAACAAGAACCGGTTGGGAGTTGTTCTACAGGGTTCGGGGAAGAAAGACACTGTTGTCCAAGCACAGCTCCCTAGGACGCCTGGGGGCCGCTGATTCAGGTTGACTGGACTCAGTCAGTCTAAGAGGGAGGCCTCGGGAGCCTCCGCCCCAGAAGACGACATACGCTCTGACCTGCCACGGGAGGAAAGCAGGTAGGTCTGTAACCGAATCGCTCCGTTTGGGCTCCCGGGTGCGCGGCTTGGAGCGGTGCAGGGCAGGGCTCCAGGCCTGGGGGGGCGGGGCGGGAAAGGACGCCTCGGATTGGGCCACTCCGAGAGGGGCGGAGTCGGGCGCGGCTGGGGACCTCGGGTGCACGCCGGCAGATGCTCGCTGTCCAGTGCCCAGAGGAGACCAAGGACTAATCCAGAGATCCTGGAGGCGAGGAGCCATGCCACCCCGGCCACGGCCCCAACGTCGGGGGCGTTTCAGTTTTCGCGTTTTCCCCATTTTGGAAGAGTCTCTTGCCCACGGGAGTGTCGTGATCACTCTGCGCGCCACGCTCGGATTTATGGTGGCGATTTTTCTCTCCCACAGGGACGCTGGGGACTGAGGGCCCCGCCTCTCCCGGTCACCCGTTTCTGGAGCCCCCGCAGGACCCTCCTTGCTCCGTGTCCTGGGGCCCCACGCTGTGGCCCCAGGCCCGTCCAGTATATTCACCCGGACTGGGTGTCCAGTTCTTGAAACCAGTTCTGCGTGTCTGAGCTACCCCCTCTGCCACCCAGGAGGTTGACTGGGACTGGTGTGGGTGACACATGGAGGACTGGGAGAGACTCCTTGGGAGGGGCAGGCTTTGACTAGAGGTCAGCAACTGGCCTAGGGTGGCCACTATGTTTTTACTTATTTTAAACAGAGAGTCCCTGTTTGGGAGATGGAAAATGTCAAGCCAGGGGAGACAATCCCTGCCTGTCCCCCATTCCCGTTGTCAGTTAATTCAGAATCCAGAGAGCGGAGACAGGGAATCCTCATTCTCTCCTCTCTCAGCCAAGTTCATTGGTTAATTGAAAGTCTTTGCTAGGGGATTCTTGGAGCGGGGGCAGCCCAGGACTCCGCTGCGCTGCCGGGGACGCGTCAGCCCCGCAGGCGGTTTATGGTGAGGACTGGAGGAGCGCAGACTCAGCTGCCCCAGCGACGTTGACATTTGAAGTCGTGCCTCCCAGTTCTGCCACCTTCCCACATCCTCCCCAGCCCCCCAGCCCCCCAGCCCCCCAGCCTCACCGCGGGCCCTTCTCTGTCTCCATCCAAGTTCTCCTTTTCTCCCACAGAACCTTACTACACGATTACAACTGAAGCCTCCAGCAGGCTAAGCAGGAAAAGATTTCTGGGGAAGATAAAATTAATGAAAAAGTTGGCCCTTCCTCTCGGCAAAGCCAGCGCGAGCTCCGCACCAGCCCTCGGGACTCCGCTCGGGTCCTAACTCGCCTGAGAAAGGGGCGGCCCTGCGGCTCCCCGCGGGTGCGCTGAACCCGTCGAGGCGGACGGTGTGCTTTGTGGCCAATGTCGTCCCCTTAATTGGGAACTGGCTCTAATAATCGGGCCTCAGCTTGTTAACTGTACAATAGTGGGGAGAGTTAATGACTCATTAGTGATTAATTCTTTAACTGTGCCTTAATTGCTCACTGTAAACCCCCTTTCCTAAAACGGGATTAAATCGTCTAGATCTTGGCCACGTCTCTCACAGCCCTGGAAGACGCTTGAGGAATGCCACGTTCCACCCAACTTCGGGCAGGTAGGCTTCTTAAAAGCCAGGGCAGCGGCGACCCCCCAGCCTGGAAGTGGGGAGATCTGTAGGGCAGCTGAGCTATGCCATTGCCTGGTCCTGACCTTCAACAGTCCCACCCACCCCTCAACACACACAGCAAAGCTGGATCCTCAAGATCTCCCCCCGCCTCATGACCCCAGGAAAGACACCCAAAAGGTAACACCCTATTTTCCAAGCAGCTTTCCTCTGCTCTGTATTTAACATGGGTGTGTGTTCACAGTAGATTCTGAATGAGTTGTAAAGTCACCTGTGGAAATTCTTTCCAGGGCTGACCGTAGCTGAGTTCTATATATACTCTGTCCATTTGTACTTTAAAAAAATTAGCCCTTTGTGGTTTTTTCCACCTTCTTAATTTTCCTGCAACCTTTATCTGTTCTGGAAATTTCTAAGGCATTGTGGATTTGTGATGATAAACAACTATTTCCACCCTCAAGGTGCATGGCCTAAATAGAGGAAATGGGCCATTTCTATATATGTTTTCAAATACCTACCGGTTTTCTCCACTTGGTGTTCCACAGGCCACCCAAAACAGATACGCTCAAAACAAAACTTACTCATCTTTACTCCGAGGCTTTGTATAAACCTCCTTAAAACTCCTCCCTCTTTCTTCATTCAGAGCCACCCAGTGGGTAAAAAGAATCATTCTTGGAGCCCAGACAAGTTATTTTCCATTTCCTTTCTGCCACTTACTTCTCTCCCCCATAGAGCTTCCAGATCTTAGCTGCCCAGAGCAAAGACACCTCCCAAGCTCCCTTTCAACTAGAGATGATTAAATAATCTCCTAATGTCATAGATGGGCAAGCCCTTCTAGGAAGCTAAATTCTAACAAGTCCCCAGCTCGCTCTGCTCTTGTCCCTTCCCTGCCACCCACTGTCTGCGAGGCGGGTGTGATGTTGGTGGCGGAGCACCCATCTGGGACTGTGTTATGAAGCCATGTGTTGAGAATGAGTAGCAGGATCAAAGGGACCGCATGTGATAAGTCCCTGACACGGGAGAACCATACTGGCTCCCGATTGCTATCTGGGCTCTGTTTTAAATCTGTCTGTTGTCGCTGTCAGCCAAACCCAGGCCCAATTCAGTCATTCCTTTCAACACCTATATGCAGTTCATCACTTAGCCGCATTGCTTTCACTTCAGAACACCTCTCAATTCACCTGTCCTTGATTTTCTCTGCCAGTTCTCTAGTTCGGGAGATCTTTATGATCTCTCCCCCGTGCTGCCTGGCTTCCCATGGCGTGCAGACCTTCTCACATGGTGCTTACCACATATGTTCCTGCCTTATGGTTGTTTCTTCATTGATTCATTTACAACCATGTATTGAGTTCTCTCTCTCTTTCTTTGTCTCTTTCCAGCTATAAAGATATGGCCTCCATGTGGATCTGCTTGTTACTCGATCCTCAATCTATCCTTCACACTCTAGCAAGAATTAGCTACCTCAAGCAGTTCCTCTGCTTAAAACAATTCTTTGTGGCTCATGGGACCATAGCCAAGCTCCTGGTGAATATGGCATCTGAGGCTCTTTTGAACCTGACTCGACCCAGCTTCCTAGGCTTGTCTCTGGCATTCTTCCTCTTTCCTTACCTTCCTCTTTCTCTCTTTCTTTCCTCGCCCTCTGTTCAATGGACACCAGCATACTCTGCATCTCACTGGTCCACCATGCGCTTTTTTGCTTGGTGGGTTTGAGCATAAATGTTCCTTCTGCCTAGAAAGATTTCCCACCATCCTGGTCCTGGCAAACTCCTTCAGGACCTGGCCCAGGTGCCACCATCGCTCTGTGCAGCTGGCCAGTATTCCTGTAGCAGTCAATTCCTTGCCCCCGCCGCTGACACCACTTACCCAACCCCCAAGAGCATTTCACTATTGTCCACTTGAGGGTTACTCCAGTGCGTAACCCACAGGGTTGTCTGTGGTCCCCGGTGAAACTGTAGGATCCTTTCAGGCAACTGTCTGACCCTTCTTAGCATATTCAGTGTCTGACCCCATGGAAGCACCCAGTAACTGATGAACAATAACTAACACAAGGGGTATGCGATTCCCGGAGAAAGCACCATATTCTATAACAGCTTACAACAAAGAAACCTGCCTTAGCCTGTGAAGTCATGGAAGTCACCCTGAGGAAGTGACACTCATGAGCCATGAAGGGAAAATGGGAGAGAACAGAGAAGAGTTGAGGGAAAGGAGAGGTCGCCAAGCCTGCAAAGGAAGAGGGAGCAGGGCTTGTCCGAGGCTCCCGGACTCTCCTGGGCTGGCAGGAGCCAAAGGACAACTTAAAGAAATAGAGTCTGTGTGTAGCTACAAACAATCAGGAGCTAGGCTCGGCAGCCAAGCAAGACGTGTAAGGAGGAGAAGTCTCCAGCCTGGGAAGGGTGTTCTGGTGCTGGGCAGCCAAAAATTAACTAGTGTCGCTACAGGTGGTGACGTAATCATTTCTCGTAGATCATCCTGCCTGTTGTATGGAGAAGAGCTTGGAAGGAGGTAAGAGAGGGTTCTAGAAGACCAGTTCGAAAGCTATCGCAGTAACAGAGGGGAAATGGAAGCTTGGCCTCATGTAGTGATGAGGTGGCCAGGTTTGAGGTTGAATGAGGAGATTTTGGGGGGTGCACCTTTCCTGGAAGGACTGCAATGCCAGGTCAGTACATGGAGCAGACGGAGCAAGGTCATTGTCTACCTCCCTGCTCCCAAAATCCATTTAATATATTGTCTTTGGATACAGGACATATCAGATATTAAACTGATAGAAACAGATACTACACTTGATCTTAGCCAAAAGACTGAGAAACAACTTTTCTTTTTTTATGTTCAGTTTTGATCAAATGAGTTTGAAGATATTGAGTAGACAATTCCAAGTACGGGTTTGGAGCTCAGGAAAAGGATCCAAGCTGTGTGATCAGTGTACAGAAGATAATACAAGCCATGGGCATAGAGGAGGTTGCCTCGGGGGAGGGAAAGGAGGGAGAAGAGGGTGTCTAATGTCAGAACCTTGAGAAACACCAGCATTTACTGCACTTTCCCTGAGCTTTCCCACCCCTATGGCTTTACCCAAGCTCTGGAATGTCTTTTGCCACAGAAAACGCCTTAAGATGAAGGAGAATACAACATACCCAGACTTCTGAAATACAGCTAAAGCAGTGCTTAGAAGGATTTTTAACAGCAAATGCCTACATTAAAAAAAGAAGAAAGATCTGAAATCTACAACCTCACCTCCTACCTTAAGACCATAGGAAAATAAGATTAGACTAAACCTGGAGGAAGCAGAAGGAAGAAAATAGTTGAAATCAGAGTGAAAGGGGCTCCTGGGTGGCTCAGTCAGTTAAGTGTCTGCCTCTGGATTTCAGCTCAGGTCATGATCTCAGGGTAATGAGATCGAGCCCTGCATCAGCCTGCTTCAGATACTCTCTCTCCCTCTGCCTCTGCCCAGCCCCCACGGACTCTAAAATAAATAAATAAATCTTAAAAAAAAAAAAGGAAATCAGAGTGGAAATCAATGAGATGGAGAAAAGAAAAGCAATAGAGAAAATCATATGAAAAATATTTGATATAAGGAGTCATCAGAGAAATAAAAGACAAAACCACAGTGAGACACCACTGCATACATATTAGGATGGCTAGAATAAAAAAATCAGTAGCAAGAAGTGTTGGTGAGAATGTAGAGAAATGAGAGCCCTCGTACAGTGTGGGTGGAAATGTAAGATGGTACAGCCACTTTGGAGAGCAATCTGGCAGTCCTTCCGATAATTAAATGCAGAGTTTCATATGACCCATCAATTCTGGTCAAGAGAAATGAAAACATATTTCCACACGGAAACTTGTACATGAATATTTGAACAGCATTCTTCATACTGGCCAAAAGATAGAAACAACCCAGAAGTCCCTCAACAGATGTGCTGATAAAGTGTGACATATACAAGTGCTGGGATTATTCAGCCAAGAAAAGGAACGAAGTGTGCATAAACATTGTAGCATGGGTGGAATCTGAAGATATTCTGCTAAGTGAAAAAAGCTAGTCACAATAGACGACATACCATATACACGGACATTCATATGAAAGTCCGGAATAGGGAAATCTATAGAGACAGAAAATTGACTCACAGCTGCTTAGTGCTGGGGGACAGGGGGATGGGGACATAAAGGGTGATAGATAAAGGATATGGGATTTCTTCTTGAGGTAACAAAAATGTTCTAAGATGGGTTGTGATTATGGGTGATTGCATGTATCTTGGAATATACTAAAGACTACTGAACGGTGCACCTTAAGTGGGTGAATCATAGAGTAAGTGAATTATCTCTCAAAGTTGTTTAAAAAAACACAAGACCATCTTTCCACTGAGCTCTTGCTCCTTCCATCCTTTTCAGGTACTTGTGTTGGAATAATTTTCCTAAATACCATTTTCAGTTTGCCACTCCCTTGCCAGGTGAGCCTTTTCAGGGTCAATAAAGACGTAGCAATTCAGCGAATCCATTCAGCACCCCCTGTCCTGGGCACAGTGATACATCCATCTGCTTCAGTTTTAGATCTCAATTCCCCTTTCTGATCTTCAAGGCTCACCCTGCATGCCTCACACAACCATTTCCTTTCCCATTGACTTTCCTGGTGTTAGAGACTCTCTGCTTTGAACAAGCGACCCGGACAGCATCATGTTCCCCTCCATTTCCTTCTCCATACTATTACTCTGGGTGGGCAATATCCTTTTATCCAAAATGACAGAGGGGCCCAAAATGCCAGTTGTCCCAGAAAAGAGCAATCGCTTAAATTCACTGTATGGTGCGGAGGCTTGGTTGGAGAGAACTTCCTCTGCCGATGATTGTTCAGAGAGCTGGGGCAGGGGCTCCGGGGTCCTGTAAGGAGCAGGCAGGAAAAGAGGAAGAACTGAGGCCCCAGGGAAGCTGGACCCGCATGCTATTTGCATAGGGCCAGCCCGCTGAGATGTAGGATTATTCCTGCTTTTTTTTCACCTGGGTGCGTACTACTAACCATCCTGTGCCTGTCGCCTTTTCTCCTTTCCTTGCGTCTAACCCTAATTCAAAGCTCCTCTCCTCCAGTGATTTCTCTTTAGTTTCCGTGGCCGCAGTCGCCTTACTTCCCCAGGATCAGTCTGTCTTGTATCTGTGAATTCCCCTCTTCTGTCCACCCCCACCCCCTGTTTCTGTTTTATTTATATATTTATTTTTATTTTAAAAATTATTTAAGGGGCGCCTGGGTGGGTCAGTGGGTTAAAGCCTCTGCCTTGGGCTCAGGTCATGGTCTCAGGGTCCTGGGATCGAGCCCCACATCGGGCTCTCTGCTCAGCGGGGAGCCTGCTTCCTCCTCTCTCTCTCTCTCTCTCTGCCTGCTTGTGATCTCTGTCTATCAAATAAATAAATAAATAAATCTTTAAAAAAATTCCTTATTTAAATTCAACTTGGTTGGCATACACTGCGTTATCAGTTCCAGGAGCAGAATTTAGTGATTCATCAGTTGTCTGGAACACGCAGGGCTCATTATATCACGTGCCTCCTTCATGGCCAACCCCCGTCCACCCATTCACCCACCCCCAGCAACCCTCACTTTGTTTCCTAGAGTTCAGCATCTCTTAGGGTTTGCCTCCCTGTTTTCATCTTATTGCTTTTTCCCTTCCCTCACATGGTGTTTGTTTTTCTCTGACTGACTTACTTCACTTAGCATAATTTAAAAAAAGATTTTATTTATTTATTTGAGGGAGAGAGAGCATGAACCTCTGCAGAGGGTCAGAAGGAGAATCAGAGTCCCCACTGAGCAGGAAGCCCAACCACAGGCTCGATTCTGGGACTCCCACACCATGACCCGAGCAGAAGACAGACGCCCAACCGACTGAGCCACCCAGGCACCCTTTTGCTTAACATAATAGGTTTGCGCTCCAACCACATCGTTGTAAATGGCAAGATTTCTTTATTTTTGATGGCTGAATAATATCCCATAGTGTGCATGTGTGTGCGTGTGCGTGTGTGTGTGTGTGTGTGTACACTACACCTTTATCCATTCATCTGTCAATAGCTATCTGGGCTCTTTCCATATTTTGGCTGTTGTGGACATTGCTGCTATAAACATTGGGGTACAAACAAAAGTAAAAATGAACTATCGGACTTGAAGGAGACTAAAAAAACCCCTTTTGCACAACAAAGGAAACAGCAAAACATAAAGGCAACCTACTGAATGGGAGAAGATATTTGCAAATGTCTTAATCAGGTAAAGGGCCAGGATCCTCCCCCACCCTTCTTAAAGCAAACAGGTCCTTGATATATGTGACTGCCTAGCATTTAACAAAAATCTGCTTGAGGCTCAAGGTTTAGCCTGCAAGGCTTTGTACGCAAACTCACAGAACCGTGTGGATATTCAAACAGCCCTCCTCTGTCTTTTTATACTCTATTTTGCTTGGAAGGGAGGAACACTCCTTTCAGATTACCATTATAGAGAGGATTGGATTTCTTGTTAGGAGGTCACGGGAACCCTAGTTCTGCCACGGACTTGATCTGGGCTTCAGGCAGAGGGGTCTCAGCGTGGCTGGAGTTCCTGGGCTGGGACACAAAAGGGCTAGACCTGGGTGGACTTCTCTCCATCCTCCGGGCTGCAGGATTCTATCCGGCAAATACATTTACTTCAGTAATTTGGCTGAGGCTGCCATCTGATGGCCATTTTGAGAACTTCACTCGCTGATTGCGCACGAGGAGCTTTCCTGAGAATGCTGATTTCCCAGCATGGCCAGCGAGGAGAAGCTCCTGTCCTCAGCCAGGTAATGGCCTTCCTGTCTAACTCCTCCCAAGTCCATGGCCTCATGCTTCCCCTTGGTTGAAAGCCCCTCCTTCTCCACTCAGATTCCCACCCAGGCTAGGTCAACCCAGCCACCGGGATTCTTACACCATGAAAGCCACCGTAAGAGGAACCAGGAGGCTAGGAAAGCTATGATTTCTTGTTCTCGTGTGTTCTCTCCCCGCACCCCAACCACCCTGCACTTCGAATTAGCAATGAATTGGTTCTAAGGTAATTCATTCAAAGCAGGAGTGACTTAACTTCTTAAAACTTTCAGGAGGAAATACTCGCATTAAAAAAAAAAAAAAGAGCCCTGAAGTAGGGCAATTCCTTTTTTTCTTTTTTTAATTGAATGCATTTGACATAAAACACTGTGCAAATTTAAGGTGTACAGCATGTTGGGTGCCTGGGAAGCTCAGTCTGGTGAGCGTCTGCCTTTTGCTCAGGTCATGACCCTGGGGTCCTAGGGTCAAGTTCTGTCTTGGGGCTCCCTGCTCCAAGGGGAGCCTGCTTCTCCCTCTCCTTCTGCTCGTGCTCTCTCTCTCTCTCTCTGATTGTCAAATAAATAAAGTATTTTTTTAAAAGGTGTACAACATGTTAATTTGATACATTTCTATATTGTAATATGATTTCCATTGTCACAATATTTTGTATCTCTATCACATTACAAAATCATCCTCTCTTTTTAGTGGTTGTGATAAAATTTTCATCTCTTAGTAAGTTTGATGATCATAGTACAATATTGTCTGTATTGAAGTAAGACAATTCTTAATTTAAATTTAATTAATTAAAAATTATACTCAGGGTAGTGGTGCCTGGGTGGCTCAGTCCATTAAGCATCTGCCTCTGACTCAGGTCATGATCCCAGGGTCCTGGGATTGAGCCTCACATCAGGCTCCCTGCTCAGCAGGGAGTCTGCTTCTCCCTCTGCCCCTCCCCCTGTTATGCGCACGTGTGCTCTCTCTCTCTCTCTCTCTCTCTCTGTCAAATAAATAAATAAAATCTTTAAAGAATTATACT